GACAACTGGGGCTCAGAGTCTGTGACACTATGACCTTTTTAGCCTTAGCAACTTTGGTGCTAGGCCTTACAGAAGGCTCACCAGACTCTGGTTCAACATATCCAAGGCCAGGGGTAGAGTTGTGAAAGTCATTGATACCCTTCATAGAAGATTGCATCTTCAGAAGGCTATTGTATCTGACTTCAAGATGTTCAATTTCTCTTATTCTCTTTAGAAGAGACTCATTTTCAGCTTTAAGCTTACTGTTCTCTTCTTTAATAAAGGAATAAGATCCTTGGATAGTCTTGAACTCTTCCCAAAATGATGACATTGGATCATCATTTAAGGCTGTGCCTACCGAAGAAGAAATAGAGTCAGCTGTAGAACATACCTCATCATCAGATTGTGCCATGAGGCAAAGGTCTTCAGTTTCTGCATCCAAGCAGCAGAAAGCTTCATCAGAGTCAGAGTCTGAACTGGACTCTGATTCAGAGAGTGGATCTCTCTCAGCTTGTTCTGAGACAAAAGCTCTTCTTCTTCTGTGTTGATCTTCAGGCTTCTTTTCTTCTTCGTGTCCTTGCTTCTTGGATACTCTGGGGTAGGGGCAGTTTGCTTTGAAGTGCCCAGGATGTCTGCAGTTGTAGCAGAGGTACTCTCCATTGCTTTCAGAAGATTTGGTCTTCTGATGTGGTCTTCTGATGGAAGATGGACTCTTTCCATCTTTCTTCATAAATTTTCTGAATTTTCTGGCAAAGGCAGCCATATATTCATCAGATAGAAGAGTTGAGGGATCAAAATTTGTAGCCTTAGAAGTACTGGCAGTAAGGGCAGTTGTGGTTCTCTCATCTGGCACTTCTTCTTTCTCTTCAACCATCTCGAACTCATAAGCTTTGAGATCTGAGATCAATCTCTCTGTGGGGTAGGTCTTGATGTTCTTGCTTTCTTGGACTGCAATCACCTTCATCTTCCAAGCTGAAGGCAGTCCCCTGAGAATCTTCATGTTGACCTCTTTGATGGTGAGCTCCTTCCCAAGCTCAGAAATCTCACTGATGAGAATCAGTAATCTCTCATGCATCTTAGCAATGCATTCTTCTGGCAGAAGTTTGAAGTCATCAAACTTCTTCATTGCAATGGTCAACTTGTTATCTCTTTCTTGTTCATCTCCTGCTCCTATCTCATCAAGCTTGTCCCAGATTTCCTTAGCAGTCCTGCACTTCTTTATTCTATTGAAATATCTTTCATCAATAGCTTTGTAGAGAATGTCCTTGGCAATGTTGTCAAGGTTGTACTGTCTTTTCTCTTCCTTGGTCCACTCAGACCTGGTCTTCTCAATCATCTGAGGCAGAGTGTTGTCTAAGGTATGGGCAGGATTGACCTTCATGAATTGGATAAAAGGTCCATTCTCCAAGACTTCCCACATTTCATCATGCAGGGCACAGAGATGAGCTTTCATCCGAATCTTCCAGTCATCATATTTCTGATCTGTGAACATTAGGTGCTTGGCAAGAGAGTTATCCATTATAACAAATAAATAGAGGCTAAGAACAAGTGGATCTTTGTTCAGAGAGTAACCTAAAAGATTACAAGAACAAGGAGGCTCTGATACCACTTGTTGGTCCCGTTTAATATGGTAATCAGTCTAGAGGGGGGGGGGGTGAATAGACTGATTGGTTTTTTTCAAATTTTCTCTAAGTCCAAAGTGACTTATCAGAGAAGGTCTGATTCTGATGACAGAGAAGGGCTGGTTCTGATATCAGAACTGGCCTTGGCAGCGGATTCTGATCTGTTCGGGTAGCCTCAGAAACACTAAGGCAAATGCCTTTCTGATAACTCTTAAAACAAGATCTGCTGAACACAGATTCCAAGTCTTAGAGTTAATCAGTTAATATCCTAAGTGCAGAAATGTAAATTGCAGTAAAGTAAATGACACCGGATATTTTATAGTGGTTCAAGGAACAACTCGTTCCTCTAGTCCACTGTTCCACTAGCTTTGAAGTAGATCAGTTACAAAGCTAATTCCTAGCACTTAAGAAGCACTCCTCGTCTTCTTCAAGCCTAGATGCCACCCAGGATGCAATTCCACGTCCTGATGGCTGATCCTTTCACTCAGCTTCCCGGAAGTATCACCACTTCACTACTGCAGTTACTTGGACGCCCTTCTTTTCAGAAGATCCTTTGAAAAACAAAGTTTTTCCTCCAACTTGCTTCGTCACAAATGATGTTTGATGAAGTTCTTGAAGAGTTGAAGAACAGGATGAACTTTGCTCGTTGTTGGGGATGAAAGATTATAGATATTGGAATCTTCCCAACGTAAGCTTGTCTTGTTGAGGATTGTAGGATTTGAATCTCAAGAGAGCTTGAGTTAGATGAGCAAAAAGTTGTAGCAAAAGTTGTTTTTCTGTTCTTCGGTGTGTAGCTTATATACTGAGGTTGTCTGCCCGTTGGAGGAGGAGACAACTGCATTGAATGCGCGTACAGTTGACTTGACCGCCGTTTTGGAAGGTTTCTATTTTTATAATATATCTTCCCGGATTCCTTGGTCAATCATTTGCAATCAATCCTTCAGCGTAGCAGGCTCATTTAATGTGCATTAAATGCTTTCCTTTCATGCACAGTCTTCTAGCCGTTGGATGTTTTTACCCGTTGAACTCATAGCTGTTGGATCTTGCTTGAAATCTTCTAAGTGTTAGTCGGGCTCTGATCAGGCTCTTCTGACGTGTTGGATTCTGATGGCCTTCTGATGCGTTGAGTTCTGATGGCTTTCTGATCTCTGATAGAACTCTAACTCTGACTCTGATAGGTCCGCTGATGAGTACCTCTGATCTGTAGTTCTCATCGGTTATCAGATGTCCAAGTTTATCAGCAACTCTCATAGTGCAACTCTGATGGACTTCTGCTAAGAGAACTCTGATGGAGCAGTTCTCATAGAGCAAGTCTGGTCAAGCAGTTCTGATGCACTTCTGATCTGATCCAAAATAGAGCAACTCTGATCGTCGACTACACTAATACTTACAATTGAAAATTCTAATACATAAAATCTAATTTGGGGGTACTTTAAAATTCTAATCCTATAGCATCATCAAAATCTAAATACATTTATTCCTTACAAGTCGGTCCTGATAATGGAGACGACAATAGTGTCCAGGTCAGGCCGATATATCCGAGCAACGGCTCTCATCCACGCAGTGCGGGGATGAAACCGGTCTTCAAAAGATAAATATGTCGTGCCGAGAGGCCGAACATAACATGATAGTGTCGGCAGTGAGAGGCCGACCTGAAAGAATCAAACAACGGTCCTCATCCGCGAGGTGGCGGGGACGAGGCCGGTCTTCAAAAGATAAGCACGCCGAGCCGAGAGGCCGGTCGTGGTATAATGGTGTCGGCAATGAGCGGCCGATCTGAGAAAATCAAGCAACGGTCCTCGTCCGCGAGGGCGGGGACGAGGCCGGTCTTCAAAAGATGAACACGCCGAGCCGAGGGGCCGGTCGTGGTATGATAATGTCGGCCATGAGATGACGATCAAGATATGGTTAAGCAACGGCCCTCGTCCGCGAGGTGGCGGGGACGAGGCCGGTCTTCGAATATGATAGTCACGCCGGTCCGAGAGGCCGGTTGTGATATAATGATGTCGGCGATGAGCGGCCGATCTAAGAAAATCAAGCAACGGTCCTCGTCTGCGAGGGCGGGGACGAGGCCGGTCTTCAAAAGATAAGCACGCCGAGCCGAGAGGCCGGTCGTGGTATAATGGAGTCGGCAATGAGAGGCCGACATGAAAAAACCAAGCAACGGTCCTCATCCGCGCAGCGCGGGGACGAGGCCGGTCTTCAGAAGATGATAATCACGCCGTGCCGAGAGGCCGGTCGTGATATGATTGTGTCAGTTGGCCCTCGGCCGTGACGGTCTTCTCTAGGCCTTCAGCCTCTGAATGATGGATGATCGTCTCACGGTTCTTCGTCGTGGCAGCTCCCTCTAGTCCCTCGGCCTCTAGGTGTTCTTCCTAGGCCATCGGTCTCCGAGGTGGAGATGCTTGTCTCACGGTCCTCAACCGCGATTGTCTCCTCTTTAGCTGGCCCTAAACGTCTTCAAGACTCGGGCCGAGCGTCTTTTAATCATTTTGCTCGAGCGCGTCGAGTGGCTTTAACTGCGCAATAAGCATGGTAACGGGCCGCACGGCCCGACAATATGTATACACACCTAACCATCTGAATGGCTTTCTTTTTAACATCCACGATTACCGGCCTATGGGTCGTCGTGACCCTCGGCCCGGCTCATCGTGCGGGGTTAATGGACGTAAAAGCTCGCGGCGGGGCCAATTAGCAGCCCGCCGAACGTCTCATAAAAATATTCATCGGTCTGTGAGTTTTCAAACTCAGACCCAAGTTAGTCGCACTGCCCTCGGAAAAACGAGGTTGAGTGCTTTGCTGCCCTCGGGCCCCATGGGCCACGTTTGGCAATAGTCACTTCGCGCCTAGCGGCGCGGATAGTTCTGGGGTACGGTCGTCGATCGGGCACGTAGTGCCGTGTGGACTAATGCGCAACCTTCCAATTAAAATGCGTCGTCGGGGCATCGCCCTTCTGGGGACGCTCGGATCACTTAATCAAGCTGATCGAGAGTGGGCCAACGGGCCCACAATAAATTAAATATTTAATAAAATGTTGGCTGAACCAACCATCACCAGAGCTTCGCCCCACATTATTTAATTCGGTACACTCTACCCCTAATAAATAATAGGGATATAACAGGCAATAGCAATGATGTTATCCTATCAAAGGCCATTCCGGTATGCTCCGCCTGCTAATTTAAGCCGACCAGGAGCGGGCCGACAGGCGCACAACAACAGTCATTAAATTTAAATGACTATTAAATTACTTATCACAAGAGCGTCACTCGACATTATTTAATTTTGGAAGATTTTAATCCCTTTTAAATAATGGTGACGAAAACTAATAGCAATAATATATCATTGTAAATTAATTAAAAGGGTAGGAATATGGACTTAGCTGGTGGAGATAAGGATTCGGCCAGCCATTAATTTAAACCCTGTAGCAACTTTGACTTGTTCGAGATGCTCCAAAGCCTTATCTCTCAGCCACCATCCACTTCCTTTCACGTGGCCTCCTGAGGACCAAAGCCTCCAAGCAATATCAGTACCCTGTATCATCCGAGAAGCCAGCTGGAACACCGGCTCACCAACCCAAGGCCATCCGGCAGAGGCACAGACTTCGCCGCGGAGCAAGGATGGACGCCCGGCCAGGTTTCGGTGGGAGACCTGCTACTTAAGCTTCGAAAGCACCTTCCCCGACCTCCAAACCTTCATTAATGGCGGAATCAGTGAAACTCCCAACCCATGGGTCCTCAGGTCGCGTCGGCAGAACGGGATGGCCGATGGAAGCTCGAGCCGCAAATGACCAGGTGGGGGAGTGACCTGCGGTTGATCGGTGATGACAATGACGGTGTGGTAATGCTCCGGCGGCGGCGATGCTCCGGCGGCAGCAAACCAGAGCAAGATCCAGAGTGCCAGATCCTCCAGGATCCTCCTTTTTCTTTGCTGAAATCCAGAACCTCCAACATCGAATTTTTTCTTCTCCCCAGATCCAGAACTTCTCATAATCATTTTTCCAGGATGTTTTTTTTTTTGTAATCAATGCATTTTCGTATGAATTTTTCTTAGAAACGAAGAACAACGTGAATCTTTTTGGACAGATTCCCACAGACGGCGCCAGTGTTGAGTTTAATCCAACACGATATAGTAAATATATGTATAAATGTGTATGAACAACTCAGTTTTTACGTGGAAACCCGAAAGGGAGAAAACCACGGGACTTTTTAGGCTAATGTCCAAGCCCTCTCTTTCTCATTAGGACTCTCCTCACAATTACATAGTACATTTTGAGCTCCATTCATGGAATCTTGCAAAACTATTCTCAAGGAAGAAGGAAGAAGGAAAAGCCCCCTTACATGGAGGGAAAACCTCCTATAAATAGGGGAAGGGGAGAAGGGGCTCTCCACCCTAATGGGCCAAACGGGCCGATGTCGGGCCTAATGGCCAAAGTGGGCCAGAATGGGCCGAAATGGACCTAGCTGCTCGGGCTCCGTACTGGATAATGTCTTGGGCTCCTGAACAGTAATAGGCCGGGATAATATATCCCAACATCAATATTTGTTTCTCATTCATTTATCTATCACATGAAGCTTTATTGGTTTCGTTTGAATTTGTCTCGAAAATATAAGAACAAATGATTAAAAGAACGTCATCTCAATTCAAGGTTGTGAGTTGGGCGGTGCTCCAAATAGCAGTTTCGGTGCTCTAAGCCCCCCCCCCCCCCCCCCCCCCCCCCCTCTAAAGTCCCTAAAGTTATTTTCCTCAAAAACCTCATAAACATTCCAACAACAAACATGTATGCGTAAAATATGTTAAATCAAATCTCTTCCACACAATAAAGTATGTCGGAATACATACTTATCAGTTATACCCTTACAGCTCTTTGACATGATATTTTTTATTCCTGGAGTGATGTGAAATCTGTTATTATAATATGGTAGACACAATGTGGCCCTTGACATTGTGGTAAATACTCTTAAGAGTAAGGAATTAGATTCAAAACATGTAGGTGGAAGTAGAAAATTAGAGGAGGTTATGCATGTGAGGGCCGGGGTAGAGATAATAATAGAATACGTAAATATAAGTCTATGTCTAATGTATGAAGCATTGATATAATTTTCATGAACTTGATTATTTCGTAAAAACTGTATTAAATCTATATATGGCAAATAAGTATATGGGTCATGCTAATTTGACTACGTGTTAAAATGATTTAGCTTATATTTTTATGATACGTTGAATAACAAATAAATGTTCGCATTTAAAAATGTTTTCTCAAACTATAAAGAGATTAAGCATGGCTTTGTACGTGTCAACAGCAAATGAGAAAAAAATACAGTGTGTTAGGAATAGTTGATGTGTGTCTTAGACTTTCTATTGGTTGTGAGCTTAATTACTTGGAAACCTGTTTGACATGTTCTTGATTTGTTTTATAATTTGCAGGCATGTGCTTTTCTTGACAATGATGGTTTGATAGGAAAACCGGGGAATGAAATTGTGAAGGGTAGTTTAGTTGTTATAAGAATTGAGAAGGAAAAGAACTTGTATGTTTTTCATAATGAACCATTCTCTGATTCCACAAATTTTGTGCAATCTTGAGGGCTAGCAAAATAATGAAGAGTTAGTTTCCTGATCAACTAGTCTATGTGCATTAATGTGTTTATGCATGGGGTCGTTCTAGTGTTTCTATTCATGATGTGAAAAATTATTTTCTAATCCCTACCCCGGCAAGACTCATCATAGTTAAGTTTCAAATAGCATATTTCTAGTTGACAGTCTTCACAATGCGGTGCATATCTGGTTGAATAACCTCAAATATTAGCGCATTGCGTGTCTTCCAAATCAACCAAATCGTATAAGACACACAATGCGCCAAATCAGTACCATAACTATACATAAATGTCTCAACTTGTACTTTTATTCAAATTTCTGACAAAAAAATCAAATGTGGCGGGCGGAATTCTATGTGTAAAATCTACTTCATATCTCTTTTGTTCATGTAATCATTATAGGATAACTCTACACATGAAATTTTGATCGCCATGTATGATTTTTTACCACAAATTTAAATAAAATTGCAAGTTGAAACATTTATGTATATTCATGGTACTGATTTGATTCATTAAAGAGTTAAGGTACCAAAACGTAACAATACCAATAGTTAAGATATCATTTATATATTTCACCCTCATTTAACTACATTAATTGTGTTACATGTGTTGTTCCAGAGGTCGTAATCGGTTGGGATGCACACTGTGGACAGGTCTGGCGGATCAAATTTGGAACTATTTGAATAGTAAGCACACTGAGGAGCTAGTTGTTATTTTGGAAATTTGCCAGACAAAAATGTTCAATGGTCCATTTAATAATTTAATTTATGTAGTTATAGTACTATATTCCAATTCAATGAGTTCTGTTTTATTTAATTTAATTTTCATAATTAAATAATTGTTTTTTATATTGTTATTAGTATTCTTTCATGATAAATAAATTGTTGCATATAAACTCACCTCCTTCAGAAATCTCCGATTATAAAGAAAAATATTTTTTTTTTATCCCGGAAGGCAAACCACCAAAATCAGTGGGACAGATGCCGGGAGGTCAGCTGCCAGACTATTATTAAGCAATATGAAAGAATACAGAACAGAGAGGGGGACCGAACCGAACCTCTCCCAAAAAACAAAGCGAAGTACAAAAAAATCAGCAAATAACATAAGGTACTTCAAGTGCGTCCAGCTTAATGGAACCACCTAGCTCTTTGGGTATTGCATTTCCAACCCGCCATGAAAAAGACCGGAGCCGGCCTAACATAGCAACCTCCCTGGCTGCCCTATTCATTTGGGCCGATATATGTCGGATCGAGCCCAGGTTCTTTAATCCACAGTTGAATATATCTGAGCCCATCAAATACCAAGAAAAATATAATTAGTTTATTTATTGTTGAATATTTGTTATAAAAACTTATTATGTCCGTACATATTATAATTTCTTAATAAGCTTAAAACATTATTCATTTTACAAACAAAGGTGAAAATTATAATTTATTTGTTGTTGTCCTCTCATAATCCTAACTAAAGTTTATTGTTTGAGTTTGAATAAGTCTATAACATGCTTCAGATTTTTTAAATTTATACATGAAATTCAATGTTTTTAATACACAACATTTCAGTTTTAAATTATTTCAACTGATCTTCAATCCTATTAGCAGAAAACTCATATCATGATTTAGAATAATGAAAAAAGGTTAAATTGCAGGTTTTACTCTGGAGGAAAAGCATTAAATCAAGTTGTGAGCAATGTCTTTTCTCAAACGAACGCACATTTGAAGAAGACTTGCTACATACCCCATGCATGACCGCTCCAGATTTGATCGATTGCTCACAGATAATTGTGTATATATGCATTCATATCATTTGCTAATATAGTTTAAATGTTACCCTATACTACGATCCATTTGTTAGAGCAAGTTTGATTGAAGTTAGTGATAGTGATTGGTACTATCAGTCATGCACAAGTGTGATTGAAGTTAGTGATAGTGATTAGTACTATCAGCCATGTTATAGACTCTGTTACCCTTTTGGCATTAAGTTCTACTGTGAGGGTCCAAAGTGTTATATGGAAAGGTCCGCATTTCCTAGGTATGACAGATATTATGTAGTGACATATATAAGTGTTATTACACAAACCGCTTAAAGCAAACCTTGACTAGATTCAGATTTAAGGTTACACTCAAAGTTGAGGATCAAACTGGATTCACTATGTTTATTGCGTTTGATCGTGTGATGATTGGGCTATTGGGAGGATATGCAACCGGTTTGCTTTCTAAAATGCAGAAGGTTAATACACCTTTTACCCATGAATTAGTTTGTGTAGTGTTTTAAAGATTTCATGACTCTATTGAAACCCCCGACTCTAAAATTTGTGCATGTGTAGAATCTGAGCTATCCTGTAGCAGATGAATTTAATACTTTGACATGCAAAGATTTGTTGTTCAAGGTAGAGAATAGCAATGACAATATATGCAAGGGGTGGAGAAGTTGTGTTATAAAAGAAATAATCAACGAAGATGAAAAAAATTGGACTGTTGAATTCGTCGAAACTGCATATAATTATCATTGTAACAATCAGTTTTCAATGTTCATATAAGATAACTAGAATGTATGATATTACTTCATAAAAACAAATAGTCACATAAAATAGGTGGATCAAGTTGGAGATGGTGCAATTTCCCCTATTTGTGTTTCTCAAGAATTTGTCAAAGATGCATGATAATTGATAATGTAAGTTTTTATAATTTTTACATTAATTAATGTTTCTTCTGCACATTAAACGTATCAATTAGATTATTTGACTGTTACTGAATCATAGGATGTCGAAGAGGTGGACTCATAAAATGTCAGAGCCAAAAAGAGAAGAAAGAAAATAAAAAATAAAAAGATAGGTAACATAAAATGATTAAGACAAAGATAAATAAATATAAGCTAAAAATGACATATAAACATAAGAAAGATAAAAGAAAAAAGATAAAAGAACATAAGAAAGATAAAAGATAAAAAGGGAAAAGTACGGAAAAGGTACTAGTGGTTGAGCCCATTTTCAGACAGGGTCATGTATTTCATTCTTTATCAAAGTAATTCATGTGTTTGAATTCCGTTATCACAAGAGGGTCACACCGTTAAAAACGTATGACAAAGACCGTCAAAAGTAACTAAGATTTTCAAAAGTGCTCGGAAAATTAAAAGAAAAACACTGAAAGGTGCGCCTCAATAAGATGATCGCTAGGTCATCTTTCTTTTTTGTTTTCAGCCACCCCTGTCACCGGAAAGTCCACCGAAAAAGTGATATTAGTGAAATCATTTTTAAAAAATGATTCAAACATATCTGAAAAATACAAAGGCGATGGTGGTTTGGAGGTCATCTTGACGAGGCGCACCTTTCGGTATTTTTCTTTTAATTTTCCGGGCACTTTTGAAAATCGGAGTTACTTTTAATGGTTTTTTTCATACGTTTTTAACGGTGTGACCCTCTTGTGATTACGGAATTCAAACACATGAACCACTTTGATAAAGAATGAAACACATGACCCTATGTGAAAATGGGCCTGTTTACTAACCGAGATATTTTCCGGTTTTCTACTTCTGTTTTTTGTTCTCTGATTTTCTGTTTTTATTTTTTAGTTTTTCTATCTCCAATTTTCTGTTTCTATTTTTTAGTTTTCCATTTTCAAATCTGAAAATATGT